TTTGCCCATCTCAACCTTGCCTTTCTGCACCTCCAAACCAATCAACCTGAGCTTTCACTCTGATGTACTCAAAGCTAATACTGTCCAAATCCCAACAAAAATCTTGCCATCTTCAGCGCTGCCACTCTGCCACTCCACCTCCTGTCTTTTTTCAGTGCCTCTTTATGCTTTATGCCATATTATAGTTACCTGGCAGTATATAGTGCCCACAGTGTTTCTTACTCCAAATTTATTTGCTGTGTTGCTTCTGATCAAGTAGCCTGATTTCCTGTGTCCTGCTGCCTTGTTCTTGGTTTTTTATGTTTCACTCCATTTGATGAAATAGTGGAAACAAGCCCTATAACAGCACAGCAACAGCAAAATCTCAAAGCAACAGAAGCCTGAAGACACACTGGCTGCAAACCATACTGCATTTGGCCAAAAGACAAGACCAATGAGCCATATACAGCAAGTGTTGTCTGTACAGTGCTGCCCTCAAGTGATGGCAATGATGTATAAATCATTGCCATCACATAGCTGTTCAAGTACAGAGCCATAGCATGTCTGCTCAGAGCTATGTAAGCTTCTATTACAACAATAAACAAGTAAAACTAAAGATCTTTGATGGTTTAAGCTAAATGCAAACATATGTTATGTCTTATTTTGTCATCTGACTCAATGAGCCTGTAAAAAATTTTTATATCAACCTCGGTGAGGTCTATTTGTGTGACAGCACAGACCTGTTTCAAAATGTCTGAGTCAATAAATAGCTAATCAGAACTGGCTCTGAGTATGTTCACCCTGAGTGTGTGTTTGGATAGTTTCAGTAAACAGAAGAATATGAGCAGAAGACGCTATATAAATGCAATCCATTAAGACAAAAGAGTCATTTTAATCACTTCCATCAACCCACTCTTGACATTTCAGAATAGATAAAGCTGAGACCAAATTCAGGTTACAAAGATCAAAGAAAAAGACCGGATTCTTGTAGTATTGCCGCTTTACAATACCACAGTAATTTTAATTAGATGATTGGCTGACAAACAATTTCAAAGGGCAGCTAAAGGTTGATGAGTAACAAAAAAAAAATGAGCAAAGAAGATACAGTGGATGATCACAGAATTCTTTCCTTGTTTAAGGAAAATAAAATGGATGGATGTGAGTTCCATCCACTCAAATGAAAAAATGGTGTCCTGAACTTTTCCATGAAATGAAATATTGATGAAGCTGTTTTGTTAAACATCAGGGTATCCCGTAGGTGCAGATTTTTAGGTAATAATAGTAATAATAATGGATTGCATTTATATAGCGCTTTTCGGGGCCCTCAAAGCGCTTTACAATTCCACTATTCATTCACTCTCACATTCACACACTGGTGGAGGCAAACTACAGTTGTAGCCACAGCTGCCCTGGGGCAGACTGACAGAAGCGAGGCTGCCATATCGCGCCATCGGCCCCTCTGGCCAACACCAGTAGGGATAGGGTAAAGTGTCTTGCGGCCAGCAGAGAGAGCAACAGGGGGATCAAACCAGCAACCTTCCGGTTACAGATGAGCTTCCCAATCCCCTGAGCCACGGTCGCCCCCCAGGTGGATGGATATTTCCTCCCAGACAACAGAACAGCTCTATTGTCTTCACCAGTGGGTGTCATTTACTCCTAAAATATGAATATAATTCATCCATGAGTTCACAGAATCACTAGATACTTTGTGATGAATATACAGTGTTGGGGAGTAACGGAATATATGTAGGGCCTACCGCTGTTACGTATTTAAAATACAAAATATGAGTAACTGTATTCCGTTACAGTTACCATTTAAAAAGGTGGTATTTAGAATACAGTTACCTGTACCTAATGCCTGTAGCATTCCTGCTCTATAGCTTAGCACAACAACAACAACAAAAAGGCGCTCTCTCACCCAGGAAACACGCAGAGAGAGAGCGTCACCCTGTAACCATGGCAACCGTAACGCTGCCCCTGGAACAACAGAACGTAGCTGTCAAACAAAACCCAAACAGTCCTGACCCGCGACAATATGAAACAGGAAAGTACCGCAGTGTAATCCATTTATTTCAACAAAGTAACTGTATTCTAATACCACCTTTTTAAAGGTAACTGTAACGGAATACAGTTACTCATATTTTGTATTTTAAATACGTAACGGCGGTACATATATTCCGTTACTCCCCAACCCGTTATGTGTCTGTGAGCACGAGGAGGGAGAAAAAGGAAAACTCCGAGTTGTCATCGAGCAGAAACGGGAGCTGGAAGCATGTAAATATAATAAAACCACTGCAGCCAAAAAGAGTGCCTGACGAGCCCAGTTGTAAGTAAGCTATTAAGACTCGACTGTACACCGTGTTGTGTTTTCCTCCGAAACAATAAGTTCCTTGGAGCAGCCTTTCAACGCCTCTCTCTGTCTCTCGCAAGCAAATTGACCCAGACAACAAAGTAAAGCTATTTTTCGGCTACGAGCCCGACAGGGACCCCGCCGTATTAGCCAGAGGTCCCTTTACTACGTTCGGAGCGCGGACCTTCAGTAAAGTAATAAATCACATTCATGTAGTTGTAAACAGCATGATAATATATTAAGTAATCCAAAGTATTCAGAATACGTTACTCTCATTGAGTAACGTAACGGAATACGTTACAAAATACATTTTGGGGCATGTAATCTGTATTCTGTAGTGGAATACATTTTAAAAGTAACCTTCCCAACACTGTGAATATAATACAGGGTGGGCCATTTATATGGATACACCGTAATAACACGGGAATGGTTGGTGATATAAAAGCACTGAGGCACATTGTTTTTCTTTTGACATTACATAAGTTTGATGTGTCACATGGCCCTCTTCCTATTGAAAAAACAAAAGTTGTATCCAAGATGGCCGACTTCTAAATGGCCACCATGGTCACCACCCATCTTGAGGAGTTTGCCCCCTCACATATACTAATGTGCCACAAACAGGACTTTAATATCACCAACCATTCCCATGTTATTACGGTGTATCCATATAAATGGCCCACCCTGTATACAGTGTATATATCTTTATGTGTCTCATTTTCCAAGGGCCTACCATCTACATCCATTCATCCAACTCAAGCAGGATTTTGCTTATGTTAATTCTAGCTAATCTCAGGATTGACATTTTTAATAGGTGGATATACACTTTTACACAGTTTATAATTAACAGTGGTATGATCGTAAAGTTAGGTATAATAAGAGGACTAATTACTTTAGTGAGGTGAGGACCAACGACATGACACATCTTAGCTTCACTCTCAATCCAAAACATAAGGTCTGAAAGCCAAAAGCTCTGGCCATAGACTGAGACTGAACCTGATACAGACGATCAAGAACTCATTGCACTCTGACTGTCAGTCTGAACCCAATCAAACACAGAAGAGGACGAATAAGACCTACATCACTCATACATCAGGGTACTTTTTGTTGATTACAGCTCCGCCATTCAATACTGTCATCCCACACAAACTCACTCACAAGCTGGCAACACTCGGCCTGCACCACCCTATGTGACTGGCTACAGGACTTTTTGACTGGCAGGCCCCAGTCCGTCAGGATCGGCAACAGGACTTCAGCCAGCATTATTACAAACACTGGCGTTCCACAAGGTTGCGTCCTCAGTCCCATCCTCTACACCTTGTACACCCACGACTGTGTCACCTCCAACAAAGATAACATCATTTTGAAGTTCGCGGACGACACTGCAGTGATCGGTCACATCACTGGAGGGGACGAAGCAGCTTACAGGAGGGAGTTGGCAGGTCTGGTGTCATGGTGTGAGGACAACAACCTCACCCTCAACACTGAAAAGACAAAGGAGATGATAGTGGACACGAGGAAGAAGAGGACGCCTCACCAGCCGCTGTTTATCTGGGGCCTAGAAGTGGAGAGGGTGAGCAGCTTTAGGTACTTGGGCGTCTACATCTCTGAGGACCTCACCTGGACACTGAACACCACACAGCTGGTGTATTTCCTGAGGAAGGTGAGGAAGGTTCTACAGCTGCACACTGAGCAGCTGCATTACTTCATGGTACAGCAGCACTACTGGCATGGACCACAAACACCTGCAGAGAGTGATAACAACTGCGTAAAACGTGTTACTAGCAGCCACAACAGCAGATTTAAAACTTTGGTGGACTGCAAAATTCCAGGAGATTTGTCTTCTTCTGATGAGCTTAATCAGCATTATGTGAACTTGCTGTTTTATAACTTGATTGTAACACATGTTCATATGTAGTCCAGCTTTAACAGAAGTGTGTTGTTTAGTGTACTAAAGTCATAACCTTACCATTACCTTAAATGTTTTTTAAAAAAGGTAAGTGATAGGATTTCTGGCTTTATTTTTACAGCCTTGAGACCATCAGTTTTTATGTGTTTGCACTGCCATAAATCAAATGACTCTATTCACTACTGGATATTCAATATGTTCTCCCATATTAGCTTGTCTTCATTGACACACTGTTAAACTCAGAATTAAGTTTAAAATCCAAGAACTACAAAGTTATGAATGATCAGACCTCATAGTATAATTATCCTATTGGAGCATTTCACTCTCAAAGTAAAGGCTTCCTTGTGATTCCTTAAGTTTCTAAAAGTAAAATGCCAGCCAGATTCCTCTGTTATCAAGCTCCTCTTCTGTTGAAACAGCTCTAAGTTTGGGTTTAGGAGAGAGACACTCTCTCCACTTTTAAGACTATGCTTAAAGTTTCATTTTGTCTGGATCCAGCACATAGTTGGAACTGAATCAGATAAACCTGCAACGTCCCTCAATTAACATCCCTTCGTGCATTTAAATGCCACTACAGAATGTCATTAGCCTTTGTGTGCTGTTTCCTGTAGACTGTGTTTCGTCCTTCTTGTTGTGCTACACTCTCCGCTTTTCTTATCTAAAACTGATTTAATAAATACTCGGCCTTGGTACTGAGGCAGATACCAGAAATAGGTGCGTCTTGGACGCGTCCTCTGACGCGTAAAACTTCATCGTGGTTCCATTCGCTGCCTTCTACGCCACGACGTCATCATGAAGGGGCGGGAGCACGGCGTCGAGTGGGTAACCAAACAGCAGCAGGGGAGAAAGCCACCGGCGGATGCGCATCGTTCAGGTGAGATTCAGTGGAATATAATGATAATTAAAATGAGGTGAAGGCATTGACGCGCTCTTTGATTCCTCCTGGTTTGCAGGTAAACGGAAGGATTGTTTTATAAATATGAGAAAACTTAGACGCTTACGCTGATATGGTAGCTACGTAGCTAGTATTAGCTAGCAATGGGCTGACGGTAATGTGTCGCTCGCTGTTAAACCCGCTTTCCATGTTTCACCACCTTATTGATTTGAATTAGAACAGGCAGTAGAGTAGTCTTCAATAGATTTTAATAATGTTACATTATTAGCCCGGTATTATTGCTCTTACGTGGCTGAAGGTAAAGCTGCTACACACATGGCAACGAAATCGTAACTCCTTCGCCCATGAAAACAGGATAATCAGGGAACCATCGAGCCACATTTTTAAGCTGACTGCTCGATATGTACTTTGACGGCTATACTACTGTCTTTCACTCAGGTCATATACATCATCCCGTTATCCAGCTGTAACTTACACGAGGATTGGGTCTTGAATAGAGAAGTGTTGCATTAGGTCACGATAACAGTTTACTACCTTTCAGTGACCTCTCACTGACCAGACATTTCGTGTGTTTGGTGGAGCTCCAGGTTGTGTAAAGCTGAGTGCAGAGACAAAGCTCGGTCATGCAGCTGGCCAGCTTTCACTTCTGAGGAGACGGCTGAAGAATCCTGTGGTGTCCGTAGAAAAACATCCACCATGTAGAGGATTCCTGAGTGCCGTCTGAATGTTTGATTAAAAACTCTTATGCCTCTTTCCCTCTAGTAATGTTGCAAACACGCTCAAAAGAACTGTGTTGATAGTTTTTGTGACAATTTATTTGCCCACATACCCAGTCACGGCAAACAAGAAAGTTCGGTTCAACCGACATTTCTTGTAACACAAGGGTTTGTCAAAAATCTGCAGTGTCATTCCAGGTGTAACACTGCACATGTGCAAAGCTCACATTTCATTGTTCAGTGATTAGTTGATAACACCAAATTGCGCATACACTAGGTTTTAATGGTTAGAAATGTAAAGGAAAATATCAAAGCTCCGGTAGTGATCTGATATTTGGAGAAATAGAATTTTTAGTACATGTGTAATATTTTCTAATTGTTAGCTCAAAAAAGTTAATAACAAGCTGACATTGGCTATTTGCTGAGTTATCACTATTGGCATTTATGTAAGCTGATACATCAAATTTCATAAAGTAAAGAAGAGGCGATAGATACTAGGGTTCTCACAATATTAGAATTTGAAACTTGATACTGATATCCAGGAAAATACTCAATATCAGTTTTGTAATGCATCCTGCAGCAGTAGAAGTCGTGGTGAAGAAGTCATAGTTTGAAAAAGTTAACTTGTAATTTTCCCAAATACAAGTTAATTTAACAAAATACGTATTTAAGATGATGTTTAGAGGTTCTGTTCATTCCACAAATTGTTTAGATCATGTCATGACGGATTGTGGGGGGAAAAAAAAGTATTTCAGAGCTAAACAAAAGGGTACAACCACCACAGTGCCTAGACATCTGAGATCATTTAATCATTGTAGCATTTTGGAAAACTTACAAATTAACTTTAAATAAGATGTGGTGTTAGTTTTATATAATAGCGAAATAAAAAAAACGAAGAAGATAAAAATAAAAAAAACCGTCACAGTGAAAGACTGAACCAGTCACTGCCTGCACTATAAAACTGACCTGACAGCTGGCGGCTAAATTTTTTGAGTTTTTGTTCTTTTTGTGTTTGTTTGTTTTTTTTAAACCTTCAGCTCGTGTACCTAATCTTTGAACCATCCTCACTTCTTAGCATGCGGTGACTAAGGCGGAGGCCTGAAGGCGCTGTGGGTCCATTGGTGGCAGTAGGAGCAGGAATCCAGCTTAGATGAAGGATGAAGAGCCCGGTGCACAGATGTAGGGATGTGGAGCATAGCCGTGGACAGTCTGGGGCTGGGGGAGGAACCAGCTGCCTACAGGAGGAACAGCGCATCCCCATCTCCAAAGACGTCATCACTTCCTCCTCTGCCTCGGCCATGTGGTTCATCAGGGATGCCTGCGGCATTGTGTGTGCCATCATCACCTGGCTGCTGGTCTTGTACGCTGAGTTTGTGGTGTTGTTTGTGATGCTGTTGCCCTCCAAGAACCTGATGTACAGTATTATGAACGGGACTCTGTTCAACACTCTGGCCTTCCTTGCCCTCGCCTCTCACCTCAGGGCCATGTGCACTGACCCTGTAAGTCAGGTTGCATTGGATTATTCATGCATACGAATTGTTTTAATTCTCAATGTCATGCTGACACTTAATGCTCTTTAGCTTTATGAAGTTCTGATTAATGTAGCAGACATTTAATAAAATGACCATTATGGTGATTAATGAGCTGCACATATAACTGAGGTCATCTACTTTATGTACATGTTTCCTGCTAGGGGGCCGTGCCAAAAGGAAACGCCACCAAGGAATACATAGAAAGCCTTCAACTGAAACCAGGACAGGTGGTCTACAAATGTCCCAAGTGCTGCAGCATCAAGCCTGACCGAGCACACCACTGCAGGTAGGGCAAAAAGGATGCGAAATTCCCACTGCCGCATTTGACATTCACAAACTTAGTCCTATGCATCGCTTTAGTGCAGTAACGTCCCCAATTTTAACCTTTCATAAATCCTGAAACTGGTGCAATTCCCATTCTCGGAGGCAGTGACCGAGGTTACTTATTTCTAGCTGCAGCTTACAGATAGAGCCCAACCGATACAGGATTTTTGAGACAAATACCATTATTTGTTCATTTAAACATCTGATATCGGGTGATATTTTTTTCTTTCTTACCTATTAAGTATAAACCGATTTCCAGAACATTTGTTGTGTGTAGCTACTTATGATTCCTTACTAAGATAATATGACAGCGGATTCTAAAAATAGGTTTTATTGTCACATCAAGTTGGGGATTACTTGTTTACACTGTGCCACACTCTCCTCGGATCAGAGTCCCTCTGGTGGTCAAAGTATGCAACATCAGCCCTCTAACACAGATGAAGGGTGTTTTCCCTTCTATTGCTGACTTCTCATTTACTGGCTGCTATAAACACATACAAATGCAGACACTAAAATATTTGCCTATAATAAAAGTAGTGATATATTGGTCAGGCTCTATTTACATTTACCCTGCATTTGGCCTGCAGGCCACATGCAGGCAAGTTTGAAAAGAGAACTAGTTGTAGAATACACTGTTGAATGTGTTTGGGTGTGATTGTTTTTAAAAAGCAGATGTTGTGGTTTGTTTGTTTTTTAGAACCAATCCATAAAGCAACATGAGTGACTAAATAAAGTAACAGACAGTTACAATAAAAGCATATAAAAAAAACAGGGTGCTACCTTTGTGAGATTCTGTTGTAGTTTCAGAATGATGACATTTTCAGCCTGTTTGAAGGTTAAGAGTTTGTTTTTGGATTAAATTTAGAATTAGGTTTAGGTTCAAACGAAGGTTTGGCTTAACCTGATGGTTACAGTTAGGGAGCAGAGGTTACATTGTGAATGAATACGCTCACAAAGATAGCCAAATAAACATTTGTGTGTGTGTGTGTGTGTGTCCCTACCAGTCAAAAGTTTGCACACACCTTCTTATTTAATGGTTTTTCCTTATTTTTCCTACTTTCTACATTGTAGATACAAACTGAAGATATCGACTTTAAGAAGCAAGATATCGCAGTTATGTAGCAAATAAAAAATAATGTCTTATATTTTAGATTACTCAAAAGTAGCCACCTTTAGCTTTGTTGAGAGCGCTGCAAACCCCTGGCCTTCTCTCAGTGAGCTTCATGATGTAGTCACCTGAAATGGTTTTCACGTCACAGGTCATCTGTGGCGTTTCTTTCCTTCTTAATGGGGTTGGGACCATCAGTTTTGTTGTGCAGAAGTCAGGTTTGTACACAGCTGACAGCCCCATTTGACAACTGTTAGAATTCATATTATGGCAAGAACCAATCGGCTAAGTAAAGAGAAGTAAGAATCTAACATTACTTTAAGAACTGAAGGTCAGTCAGTCCAGAAAACTGCTAAATCTTTGAATGTGTACCCAAAAACCATCAAGCGCCCCAGGAAGAGTGAGCTCTGCTGCTAAGTATAAATTCATCCGAGTCACCAGCCTCAGAAACCGCAAGTTAACAGCACCTCAGATTAGAGCCCAGATACATGCCACTCCGTTCCGGTTTGTGTTTAGTTGGACCATCATTTATTTTTCAACAGTACAATGACCCCAAACACACATGGCCTGGCCTCCACAGTCACCTGACCTAAACCCAATCAAGATGATTTGGGATGAGATGGACTGTAGAGTGAAGGCAAAAAAAAACAAGTGCTCAGTAACTCTGGGAACTCCTTCAAGACTGTTGGAAAACCATTTCAGGTGACTGCCTCATGAAACTCATCAAGAGAATGGCAAGAGTGTGCAAAGCAGTAAACAAAGCATAGGGTAGCTATTTTGAAAAATATAAAATATATTTTGAGTTATTTCACACTTTTTGTTTATTACATAATTCCATATGTGTTCATTTATAGTTTTGATGCCTTCAGTGAGAATCTACAATGTAAATAGTCATGAAAACAAAGAAAAACAATTAAAACAATTATTTAAAAAATAAAAAACACTTTATCACATACCTAAAACAAAATCGTATTGAATAAAATACGACTTTGTATAAAGTACTTTTGCTATTGTGTTTATAGTTGAATTCCCCTGCAATTTCAATTCTTCTTGTTCAATGAGAGAAATATAGGCTGTTTTGTGCTTGAACAAGTCTGTTGAAGTCAGGTTCAGTGTTTGGAAATGTGAAGGATAGTGGACAGGTGATGATCACTGAGAGAAGCTCTGTATTTGCATTTGTTAAACCTCTTCACTGAGTTTGTTCACATATCAAAGTAGATCCAAAGAGAACCAACATCTTCTCTGTTTGCATGTGAGTAAGAATGTTGCTCTCCAGTTGGCTTGAAAGAAACTGCAACTTTCAAATGAAGGCCTTTACCGGGCTTTATGTTTTATGTGCATGTAGGGCCTTGCTTTTCGATTTGGTGTTTAGATCATGCATTAGTGTAGTGTAGTTCAGGATTTCTCTTCTATCTGCATCTCAGACCTCTAAAATATCTTTACCTTTCTTTCTCCAAAACTCTTAAATTTCTGCTCCCATGCTCTTTGTGGCGGAGGTGTGGTCCCTGGCTCAGCTGCAGGGGAGGGGTGGTGCAGTGAGATCACGGGGCAATGCCGTGGTGGTTTGTGACATAGGTGTGTGAAGTTTTTAGTTAACGATCTCTCTCTCTCGGTGTGTGAATTTTAGTGAGACCGGGGCAGAGAGTGGAGAGGTCAGAATGCGGCTGAAAGCTGCACCTGTGGGTGCCGAGCCGAGGAAACAGACAGAGAGACTGTCAGTAGTGCGTGTCAGCAATAAAAGAGGAAATAAACCCAAACAGTGTGTCTACGTGTGGTCATTCTTCACACTCTTCATCACTTTGCCCTGTATGAGTCACTTGACAGCTCTGTGGTAGCCTATGTCACCATTTTCAATCAAACAGTGTGCAACTAATTGTGATTCAGTGTTCTCTCCCTGATTACATCATCAACAGGGTTAATTTTTAGCACTGACTTTCACGGTATCTTCTGGTATATAATACACTGCAAAAATAACAATTTCAGTCACTTTGTCTTACATCTGCTTAAAAGCGCCCACATTTTTTTCTCTGTCAGATTTGGATAGTAATCCCTTGTAACACCTGTTAGTTGGTAACATTTTAGTCCAGGCTTGATCAGGCTTGGCATGTGTTGAGCCACCCTCACATCTCTCCATCTTCTGATTTCCTCATACGGTTCCACAGTTCCTCTCTTGGCATCCCATCTTCTGCTTTCTCTAGTTTCACAAAGACACAGTGGAGGTCCTTCTGACTCTTTCTATACTTCTCCATCAGCACTCTCAAAGCAAACGTCACATCTGTAGTGCTCTTTTTCTTCATGAAGCCACACTGCCCCTCACTGATCCTCACCTCTTTTATCCTAGTTTCAACAACTGCTTTCACATAAGTTAATGGTTTGGTTCATCGTTGTACATGCATTTAAAATAAAAACAGCATTTCCCTTCAAAATAAAACCAATTTATATTGTGTTTTCCCACAAAACTGCTAAAACCTAAGTCATTCTCAAATGGGAATCTTACCCGACAGCATTTGGTTGCTAGAATGCATCAAACTGCATGATATATACTTATTTAGATTTGCATCCTAATTTCCCATTTACCTCATGTGGGCTGCATGTAGCCTTGGGGGTGTATATAGAAGGAATATACTAGTAAGAGAGAACAACCTTAGCTCAACTAAACAACTTCAAATTCAGTACTGCTCTTACTCCGTTTCCTGTCAGTACCAACTACTGAAGTGGATTCAGTGAATTCTTGTTGCGATAGGTGATGAACAAACACACATAGAATAGTATAGCTTATCGGGCCTTTATATTGTAATTGTGTTCATAGGCATGATTGTAGTCACAAAGCAGTAAAGCAACATATTAAATCTTCTCAGGAAATCCAGTAATGATTTCCAAACACTCGCTGTTTGCACAGAACACCCAGCTTTAGCACTAGCCTTACCACCAGCTTCCTGTTTGCTCAAATGCAGAGAATGTAAATCCTTAAATTTTAGTATTTGCATTAAAAACCTTCATTTTTTTCAGTTTATCCCATATTTCATGTTGTCTTTTAGTTTCTTTGTATATTGACAAAACGTTTTGATCCTGGTTTTCAGTGGAATTTCTTCTCTTACAGTGTTTGCAAACGCTGCATACGGAAGATGGACCACCACTGTCCCTGGGTCAACAACTGTGTTGGAGAGAACAACCAAAAGTACTTTGTGCTTTTCACAGTAAGTCCACTGTTAGTCTGTAAATTGACGAAAAAACACCCTGAAGGTTACGCCTGTCACATGATTTTCAATCATAAAGTCACCAGTTGTTGCTATAGAAATGGAGCCGTTTCTTGGTAAATGCCACTCTGTTTGTGGTTAGCCTGTGTTGTCAGTTCCTGCTCATTGTATCCACTTTCTCATTTTTCTTTTTTAACCCAGATGTACATTGCACTCACTTCTCTCCACGCTTTGGTCATGGTGGTCTTCCATTTCCTCTACTGCTTTGAAGATGATTGGACGAGTAAGTGCTTTTTCCTTTTTTTACAGTTCTCTTCAGCCTGCAAACACATAAAGAACAGAGCTCTAGATGTAAATAGACATCTTCCCTCAAACATGACAGTAAAGTAATTTGCTTGATTTTATATTTTGTATTTACATACATAACCATCTTACAATATTCTTCACATTAGTTTCCATTTCTTAAAGGACCATATATCTGTTCTTGTGTTTATTCCATCCTGTTTACATAAATGGGGGACAAAAAAACAGAAACGCCTTCTACAGCCACGAAAATCATTGCAATTCAACACAGGGGGGCACAGGCTGGCTCGTGTGATCAGTAGATGAGCTACGCCAAATTCCCCTGATCTCAAACCAATCGAGCATCTGTGGGATGTGCTTGAGAAACAAGTCTGATTCATGGAGGCCCCACCTCACATCTTGCAGAGCAGATACCACAGCACATCTGTTGAGTGCATGTCAGGACTGGGGAACCTACACAATATTAGGCAGATGCTCATAATGTTGTGCCTGATCCGTATACATATATGATCTTCATCCACTTTCTATCGGTTATTCTATTCAGCGGTGCTGGGAGTCTGTAGCCTATCCTACCCCACTGCATCTACATACAACACAAAATCAAAGTTGCACATTCTCCCTCTGGTCTATAGTGGTGTTTGTCCAGCTACATTTTTTTCCATGTGAATTGCCCAGTTTTGAAAATGTTGGCTTTTTTTAGTTTCCAAAGTTATGACCCAGGCACTGCAAAAACAAAAAAAAAAGTCCACAACTTCTTATCCATAATCAAGGATTCTTATCTATAAACAAGGTTTATGGAATAACCGCGTCATGAGGAAAGAGGTCTTGTTGCTGAGCTTTCAAATGATTTTTTGGTGGGCTTTTAGTTTGTCAATGCAATTGCTATTTAGGTCCATAATATTCAAGTGAATGCAGGCATTTCTATTGGTGATAAAACCAAGCAACTGAAACCTAAACAATCTGGACATACATCAGACCACAGGCTAGAGGAAAGGATCATTTTGGGCCATCAGACAGATATTTATGTCCTGCCACTATAAGTGTCATTATATGGCAATGCTTGCAACTCCTTAGGACAAATGAAAATATGAAATATTGTTGACATGAGTACATCTTGTCTCTACTTCTTTGTTGTGACATTTATTTTCCTTCCAGTTACTGATGCCGTAACTTCCTGATCCCGTACAATAGTCTTTAAGAAGTTGACCTAAGCTCATACTCGCTGGCTTCAAAGCTTTGCATCGTCACTGTAGAGCTGCAGTTGGATGCAGTAGTTTTTTGATAGAAGTGAAGCAGTTCCTCTATGAATCTCTTCTTTGCCCTTTCACTTCCCTGTGTCCACCTCCCTCCCATTCCCCCAGAGTGCAGTACCTTCTCTCCTCCAGCAACAGTCATCCTCCTCATACTCCTGTGCTTTGAGGGCCTCCTCTTCCTCATCTTCACCTCTGTGATGTTCGGCACCCAAGTCCACTCCATCTGTACCGACGAGACCGTAAGTGACCCAGTTTACCATCCTGTTAACCACCTCCTTTTAACTCCTCTGTGCTTCAGGACTTCTCCCTGCTGCTGCAACTCTCAACGTCTTTTAACATGAATATCTTTAACGTCTCGAAACATCAGCTGACGTCTCTTACTCTGCAGCAGAACTTCAACCTTAAGTGCCTTAAAAGCAAATAATTTGAGTTACACCTACCATCATATCAGAAATTGCAGAGGTGGATCATAGACTTCTGTAGAGCCTGATTTGTTTTTGCAACCAAAGGAAGTCACCTCCTACTGGCTGTTTTTCCATCTTTTTTATGGCAGAGTGACAATAATAATGCCTCAACTCCAACCTGCCAGTGTTTAATTCATACTGTCTTTTAAAGTATGAGGCAACTGTGGCTGTCACTGTTGCAGTATCAATCTGTAAATAGGACCTTTCCTCACACGAGACATTTAGACTCAGCAGGAAAAGTGCAGGTGTAACTCATAACAGCAATAATAGCAACATCTCAGTCCTTTCCAGACTTGTGGATTAATGTGATACAAGATCAAGTAATTCTGTACTCCTGTGCTTCTTTCTGTTGTGGAGATGTCTCATGTAACAAAAGGTTCATTAGCCTGATTTATCTATACATCCATCCTCATCCTTCTCCCAGTGTTACTACCCCAACTATATATAAGCTCTCTCTCTCACTCACTCTGTCTTTGGTGAGCTAGTTAAACTGAATAAAGTCACAACTTTTCACAGGCAAATAGTGCACGCAGCTTTGTGTGCATTGGCTAGCTCACTTTAATAAAGGAGACTAAAACACACATGCAAAAAAAAAGTTTACCAGTTAAACTGCGGAGCAGAGTCCAGATTTTACACCTGCTCATTACCAGTAGTCTGCCCCCTGGTGGTGAGTCTAATGAAGGGCAGGCCTGTATGCAGTTTTATAATAAAGGTCCGTTTGTCAGTGTATCAGCGAAAAAAGGAATCTCTGTCTTCTCAAGTTTGGAGCTGAAATAATCAAGCATGTGTGCATGGGAAGCATAGCTCACCAAACCAAACTCTCCCTGTTTTCAACTTCTTTTTGTCTGCAACTCCAGACCTTATTTATTATGAAGAGAGGGCTTTAGCATACACAGGACTGTGCAACACACAAGGGAAGGGCACAACATCGGCTCTCCACTGTCCTAATTCAGCAGCGCCTGACGTGCAGCCCCCGATGATCTTATTTTTATCTTTCTAATGCAGAAATGGGTATTTGGAGTTTGTGATTACTGTGATCGCTGGGCCGCAAAAGCACACCAACTGAAGTTTGGTTGTCTCTCGTTTTCAGGGCATAGAGCAATTGAAAAAGGAAGAGAGAAGATGGGCTAAAAAAACTAAGTGGATGAACATGAGGGCGGTATTCGGACACCCTTTCTCCATATTGTGGTTTAGCCCTTTCTCCACCCCCGACCACGGGAAGGCTGAGACCTACCAATATGTGGTGTGAAGGCTCAGCACAGGGAGTGATCAAAACCAAAGTGGGAAGGCCTGCACCCCCCCCCCCCACACACACACACACACACAGCTCAACGCGATTTACACTGTATATCCCACATTAGCAATGGACAGCTTTTCATGTGCTTTTTTTGTGTTGCCAACTAAGTGCTCTATACGTTTTATTTTTGTGTTGCCTTGAGTGAGTCGAGTTGCAGAGAAAAAGAAACACTTTACAGTCGTGTTTGCAAACACTGTGATGGATCTGTTTGTTTCTGACCTGCTTTCTTTCTCCTCTATCAGAAGCCCCTCTCTCTTCTTACTGTTTCCTTTTTGCTTCTCCCTAAAGGGTTAGTTCAGCTAAATTATAAAGAAAAAGCAGGTATTATGTATTTCCTGTAATTGCCAGCTAATTTCATTACAGTGAAAATAGGAAATGATGTATAAGGTAAACAAAAATGCTTCATAAACTGGCGAAGCACCGAGTTTTAGGACATTTTAAAGACTATTTTAGGGTAAAACTGGCTGGAAACTGCAGGTCTCCAGATTATATTAAAATCACACATCAGGGTTAGAGTTACTGTAATTCCACATTAGCTATTCTGATGCCAGTAGAGAGCTTGGTGGATTTTTTTTTTTAGATGAACTGACCCTTTAAATATTACTCAATGTCAGTGTGTTCCAGACATGGACTGGATAAAGCTTTTAAATGGGTCTACTCAGGAATGGATTGTCTGAACCATTCAGTAATCAGACCCACGCTCAGGCCGACCCTCTGTTATAGTGCTGTACATAGCACATCAACATCTTGCCTTTGTTACAGTGGGATTCTTCATAGTTACTGAAAAAAATCTCTCAAGAATCAAATGCAAAGAAAGTGACAGCAAAACACAACAATTCTAAAAAAGAATTTACATTAGAATTACATAGAGTGCTCCATTTGGTTATGATAATCTTCACCTTTGTTTCTGGGTTCAGACTTTTCCTCTGTGGTCTTTTTTTCAGCCCCAGTTCTGACACAAAGCTCTCGTGTGGGCTAGTTACACTTAGATGAACATGTCAGTGGACTGAAAGTAAAACTCCATTAATTAGAGAATGGGCTGTCCCTCGGTCTGTCCTAACTGAGATGTTATTATGACTGCTGTTGACATTAGAAGGTATTACCGCTTGTTGAATCTGTGCATCACTGACTGTTGTCTAAAAGTAGCTGACCAATGGGGACACAGCACTGTAAGCCCAGCCATGAGAACTTCACAACGGTGGCGCTCTTGTAGTTTCTATGTATGTTCTACCTTTGAGTGTTTTTGCTCTTCTTTGATTCACTTTTTTCATTCTTGGGAGATTTTTTAAAATGTCATTATTAGGACAAAAGTTAATCCAAAGACTTTTGGTCTGTTATGTTTGTGATGAGAGTTCTAATTTTCCAAATGGATCCCTTTTCTTCCCTGTTAGCAGTGACTTTCAGATTGTCACATTCTTACATTCAGGGTGGAGTTGAAAGCAGTTTTGAAAACAGAGCTCTGTTATCTCATCATGTCAAAACCTGCACATTACACTGCATTTAACCGTTTGGGTTCTCATTAATGTAAGACTACACGAGGCAGAGGATCGCAGTGGTACCAAAAAGCAGAGCTGATAGCCTGCTGTGACTAAAGGATAGCAGATGTACTGAATATTTAAAGTGGGCTTGTTATGCTCATTCCCAGCTCCACAGTTCCATTCTTGGTCTCGGTTTTCTTTAAACTGTGAATCGTGCAAAGCTAAGCTAGTAATCTTTATTTATCCTGTGAGGGACCTTTGTGCTCATCTGAAACGAGGTGGTGTAGTTCCCTACCTTCGAGGCAGCCCTTTCTCAAAACCAACTATATTCTGATTGGCTGCCTCTTGTAAAAAGAATGTTTGAGTTGGATGGAGCTTCTGTGTTCACAGTCAGAGCCAGAGATGGCCATGTTAGAGAGATCCTCTGTCTTTGACATCAAACAGAGGAAAGAGCAGAACAAACTGTTTGAAACTGAGTTTAGAGCAGTCTGAAGTCTCACCTCATTATTTGAAACTTATTTAATATAAGCACCCAGCATAATAACACAAAGTATGGCTCAAAATAAGGAAAAGCAAAGCAAATTAGGTCTGATTTAGTAGCTGACCCTTGATCAGCTATTGAAAGTCAGTTTTGGAGGATCTCTGTGATTAAACAAAAAAGACCAAAAAGTCACGCTGCAGCCTAATCATGTTTTCATTTTTAGCACCTACAACATTGTCCCTGTTTCCTCTCTGATACATGCTCAAGAAAAACAAAGCCTCTTGGAAGACAGAAATGCATCTTATTTTTGGCTAAAACAAACCAGGAGGTTTCTGTTTGTTCCAGCAAACAGATCCAGATTCTCAGTGTTTAAGCTGGCAGTCTGAGTTCTGCTAAAGGAAGGAAAAGGAAAGGTGACTGATGTCGACCTCAGCCTGTCTTTAAGCAGGAAAAACATGTGGGTTAGAATGATGCTGACAGTCTGTCAACATATGTTCATTCTGGATTTTGTTTTTTATGTTGTTGGGGGTTTTTTTGTGTTATTTTTTTTTTATAAGAAAGGTTTAGCGTCCTACAGTAGCCTCCCACTAACACTCTGTTTGCATGAATACGTGCCAGTGAATCACAGCTCTAAGCCCATGTGGTGTTTTGATGTTGTGAGCGTGTGCCAAATTCAATAAAACCCACAATTCTGCGATTATTTGGTAACCCTTTGATATGAATTTGCTCTGAAGGGACACTGGCTTCAGTTTAAAATCCTCTTCGCTGCCGGAAATGTATAAAATCGTGTTCGGAGTTAAAGAGACGACGTGGATTTAGAATATTCATTTCTGCACCACGCCAGCCCACAAAGCATTTAACCGAGGTATTAACATTCACTATCCAATTTAAAGTCGTTAAAAAAGAAGATTTAATTTCACTTTGTATTTCTTTGTATTTGATTTGAGATTTTCTCCTGGGTGAACTGCTTTGTTCCAAAGTGTGCGGTTTTATTCTTCTATTCTTTGTTTACATGATATTGTGTGTATCCTTTGTTTTTGAATGCATGGTACAGCTGAAGGCTAGTTTAATTGTGTATGTGAAACACTGCTGGTATGATGATGCAGCTGAGTGACGGCAGAGATTATTATTATTATTGTTTTGTTATTTTTACAGAAATTTTAATTCTTTCTAAATATTCTGAAGAGATTTCAGCACATGCACAGAGAATAAAATCTTCTCAGATGCAATGCAACAACTGTGTTTGCTTCCTTTGTGGAGGTGCATTTATTTACTTTTGCCTGTCCCTTTATTTTATATTCAAATAGTAATACCGGAGCAGATGTGGGTTTTTTGTTGGGGTTTTTTCCTCCTTCTCCCCGTGCACACAGTTCTTATATGGCCCTCACATCCTGCATTTTCCCTCCGTCCTTGTCTTCCATTCTGCTCCCACGTCTGGGATCCTCCTCCCCCCGATACTGTGTCCTCTCCTCACTCATGCATTTTTGCTTTGGTTGATAACTCACTCTGCCGAAAGCTTTCCGAAGCAGACAGCCCTTTGTAATCTTGACTGAGGTAAGCTTGCGAACAGCAGTCACATTGGCCGTCCCATCAAGCTTGACATGTCACATGTATGCACGCTTCAATCAGAAGGCCGACGTGTGCTTTCAGTTCCTCCTTTGCTGTTTTACTTCAACCAAACGGTTTGAATGAATGAGTGAGTTCTGTCTGTGATGCATGTGCCATCTGTTTATTTTTGAAGTGCATGCCAGTCTTTTTGGACAGCAGCATGAAATGTTGGGCATGTTTCTTTAAAAACAAATTGAATAACATGGAACCTAAAGCATGTAGAGGACACCGTTAACACTCATCAGAAGTCAAGTCATCTAACTTCTCAGTTAGTGTTAACTGTAACTTGTGGCCATGAAGCAATCTTTGCACCAGTACACTAGAAGATGGCTGTAAAATCCACTGTTTGCACTGCATAAATAGAAGTCCCAAAGTTGAAACTAATATTAGATTCAGCCGTCTGAGTTACCCAAATGGATCTTTGACTGTCACTAAAAATACTCTGTCAAGACTCAGGTTGTTTTTTGTTTTTGTTTTTTTTACATTTACATTTAAAACACAAACTTCCCGAAAACTACCTTCAGTGGCATGTACTTGAGTGTCTTAGCTAAGCATAAAGACTATAAACAGGGCACCTGCTAGCCTAACCCCGTAAGCACTCTAAAGCTCACAGAACTACATGTTGCCCCAAAAAGTTGATTCTGTTCATTTGGACGGAGCGTTTTCAGTGGGAGAAACGCTTTGTCACTCATCCAAGTGACTTCTTTAATGTCCGCTGATTGCAGGTTTACTTCACCTTATAAAACAGTACCTTTGCACAATGACTGAAACCACCACCGGCAGGAGTCAAGGAGGCAATTTACGACCATCTATGAATCGAGGAGGGGGCTTAACGGTAGCTCCTGCCATGTTACAATGCTGTGATTGCAGCCATTCCCCAACTCTCTGTGAATGGTACTCATGACCATTGATCAATGGTTTTTGATCAGCGCTGATAACAAATTTGCATATTAATGATCAAAAAAACTCAACTGCCCATTGTTCGCCATTCAGTCATTATGCACATGTACTAGGATGAAGCATTTTCAGTGGGAGAAACGTTTCGTCCAGATGAACAGAAGCAACTTTTAAGGATTTCCTAACCTGGATGATTGAGCATGCATCCAGATGAGTACATGTTGCTTTAGGTTAATATCTTGGAACACAGTCCTTCTAAAATAACTTCTTACATTAGTTCTAGAAGTATCTGTCAGCGTTACTTTTTGCCATTATACATTAGAAATCAGAACTGTTGGCCATCTTGAAATGAACCCTAAAACTAACAAACTGGAGGGAAAAACAATCCTATCCCACCTCCTCAAAGTTCAGGGTGACCTCTTCAAGTGCCTTCTGTTTGGACAGCAGTCGTGAACCCCAAATATTGAGTCTACTTTAATGAATGCCAAACATTTTTGAAGCTGGAGCGTGCCTACTATCAGTCAACACCCACACATTGGACATCAAAGCCAGAATCGCATCCAAAACTCAGACATTGCGTATTTATCAAGCAGGGCTTTAAAGACTCCTGAAAAATGACTGATTTAGCACTTGTAGAGAGGCTGACATGTTTTGAGTGGGAGCCAGGTGAAAGCATCATTACTGTTACTGGTGTTGTATTATAAGCTGCTTCCTGCATTAGCCTAAGCCTCAAGTTTGTGGTAGCTGGCACTTGGTTTGGATTAGGAAGCAACATTCAAAGGTCTGAGGATAAAAATAAACTGACAAATGATTACCAAGAGGGCATCCACTGAAGCCTCATTTACTTCAGTTGGACTTAAATGTGCTTTGAGACAGTCAGCCAGTCCAAATATGTCTCTGGTGCTTTGTTGTAGGAACAAAGACCTGTAAAAGTAATCACATTCCCATCAGCCTCAGCTGCAGTTCAGTTTAGGTGTTAATTAGCAACCATTAGAGCAGCTGGCTCCACTGCCAGTCCCGTTCTCTTTGCTTCCTGGCCAGTACACACAGGATAAATGGCAGCAATGACAAGTAAATGATTAAACCCTCAACCTGAAGACTTTTTATTTTATTTTTTTAAATAAGCTGGACATGTTTAAGTGTCTGAGGGACTAGCACAAAAAAGCAAAACCATCACATAGTAACATACTATCACCAGTTTTGTGTTGTGGATGTCATTGATGGTGCATGCAGGTGATCCCATGCAGTGCTTTTTTTTTTTTTTTTGCTTTGTTTGTCTCTCTGCCCCTTCACCTCAGAACCTCACTGTTTTTTGTCTCCAGGGGATCGAGCGGCTGAAGGGGGAGACGGGGAAGTGGGGGAAAGTTCCGTGTTGGGAGGCCATGCAGATTGCATTCGGAGGCCCCTTCTCACTGTCCTGGTGCAGCCCTTTTTCAGGCTTGAGCTGCAAGAAGAGCCCTGAGGACCACGTCGCCATCCCCCAGGGAGAGATCATCGAGGAGGATGTCATAGAGATACCACTCAACTAGCGCCACCTGCTGGGGAAAGCATAAATTGCAGACTGGCCGGGTTTCTTGACAAGCACAAAGATATTTTTGAAACTGGACTTTCTAAATGTTGAAAAATTGCCCAGAATTTATTTTAATTATGTATGCATTTCTTTATGTACAGGACTTTTTTCTGGATATATTTCACAGTTTCTGTTCCTACCTTCAGTGTAGCCATTTGATAGGTGTGCAGAGCACCCATTATCAAACTTTAGTATCTTAGCTTAATACTTGCACACATAAGTGAAGGTCTAATGTGCATTTTAAGGATCGCATATTTCTCTACTAAATCTGCCAAACCTGCAGCATTTTCCTGAATTTGTCTCTAGGAAAACGCTGTGAGGACTCAAAGCTCAGTCAGCTCAGTGTTTGGAGAAGAGAATACTGTAAAGTGCCTCCCTGAGCTGCCTCAGAACACCACTAACAGCAGCTCTGCTCCAGCACTGTAGCACAAACGGTTCCTTTCAACCTTCTTGCCTTCCCCCCCAGATTTGAACAGCCAGTTTCACAGATAACGGTTAAGCCTAGAAATACAAACTCTCCATTTGGAAAAGGTTTTTAGTCTAAGATTAGGCTTGACCCATGTCTGAGAAACTAGTTCGAGCTCACCTCGTGCCTTATCTATCTTTACTGAGCAAATGTTTGAAACACTACATTGTTTTATTACTCATCTTGATTCCAGACTCTCTCAATTTGCCATTTTCATATTTCTCGCTCCATTGCACATGTGGGAAAAGGGCAGTAGATGACTTCATATAGAGGATTTTTATTGTGCGTGTATGTAAGCTGGAGGATAAGGGCTTCTAACTGCTAAATGGCTGCCGGACATTATGGGATCACTTATGTTTAATCATGTTTACATTGCTTTAATAATCTACTCATTGTGTGGGTTCCTTCCTTATATGAATGGTCATTCTTTTTTGTTTGTTTGTTTTAAATCTAGTGACAGATTATTTGTTTGTTTTTAGCAAATACATCTGCAGTGTTTGAATTATACACCAAAAGCTACTGACAGTCCAGTTCAAAACTTAAAAGGAACATTTTTTCATACAGCCTTATCATCTCATCTAATCGACTGCGAGAAAGGAAAAAAACATTTATCAACGTGTCAGAGCACTCCTTACGTTGTGGTACATCTTATCTCCTGTTGTGTTTTTCTGCACTGATTCCATTCTGTTCCACTGTGACCACTTTCAGCTCTCCTGCTTCGATGCCTTTGATGATAGCCAACCACAGAAGACAAATACAGCTGTTGTGGTAGAAGTGTGTATCATAATTGGAGAAAACATTACACCTCATTTGCAGCTGAGGCACAGCTAAGTGGTCTGGAATAAATGGGTGTTCAGACAGAACAGCAGGCATGTTGTTTGTATCGTCCTGGGGGAAACACTGTGCCCTCCAAATTTTCATTCAATTTAATTTGAACAAAACACATCTGCACACTGGAGCTTGGCTTTATCGTTCAGTAGTTGTCACTGACCCATGTGGAGAGGGTTTATTTTAAATGTTTACCTCCAGCCTTTAATCATTACGCTTCTGCCGACTACTGCAGCTGGTCATTTGCATAATTTTGGGTGAGCTTTCTAGCTTTTGTGGGCATTGTAAGGTAACATATTCAGCTGCAACTAGTTTGACCTAGTCGACAAAAAACGCTTCCTCAATTTTCTGGGCGTGCAGTCTTCTCCGGTGCTATCCCTAAAAGTACCACAAGGTGGTGCCAAACTCAAATCAATTGACTTTCTAATCATTCTCAATTCTTTAGAGTAAATTTAGCATGGTTGTGAGATGGCTGTTCTTCTGCACAAAATATGTGGTATTTAAGTGCCCTCATTTGTTCGACTTCCATTTTATTTATAAAAATATTCATTTCCACTCAGCATTCCAATGCAGAGCAAGTCACAGTGTGGTTTGTAATACATGCATCACACATTAAAAAATCAACTTCCACACAGGTACAAAATAATAATAATATGAGGGTTTTTTGATTTTGTGCAAGTCCCAGGGAACCCCTCATTTTCTTAAAGAATCAGAATTCAGTTGAAAGTCCATAAAAAGGCAGTGGTTGTTCATCTTATAGGAAGAACTAAAAAGTATACATCAGTCAATTCTGCAGGCGGAGAACCTGACAGAACTGCTCTTTGCAGTCAACAGTTTTGAGGCTGCGCACTTGGAACAACTCCAACATGCATTACTTGTCCTTCTTGTCTGCTTCCTGTGGGTGTGTCTGAGGTGCTGAACCATGAAGCATCAGCAGTCCACACAGAGTGAGAGCGATGCCTGCCCACCACAGAGTTGCATGGCTCTCTCCAAAGAAGAGCCTCCCTAGCAGTCCCTGGACAGAAGAAGAAAACATTCACTATAAATATAAAACAGTAATCTGAATGTTGAATGCAAAGTCAAAATGTTTCCCTTTTGTTGTTATAGTGCTGTGAAAAATCAAATTAGTTCAGCATATGTAGAGAGCTTACAGAGGAAATGAAGTTGGATGCAGTGGTCGTGACAGTGGCCCTGGCTGTAGAGGTGGAATGGCGGAGTGCCTTGGAGAAGGTGGTCCACATGACTGCATTACAGGCGAATAGCAGGCCGCCGCACAGCAGCCGCAGGGGGATGTGGAGCTGTAGGCCAAGGTATAGCAAGACACACACGAAAACATAACTTTACCCTCTGCAGCAAAAATGTCACGGCTTGGCTGAATACCAGAACTGAGTGCAGATCCTTAGTTCAGATTCCTAAACAGTGTTTCTCCATTTCCAATTATGCATGCCCAGGAAGTACTTTTTACCTCACAGCCTAAACTTTGACAAACATGCCTGGTTAATGACCAAAAACCTTAAACCACCACCACCGTTAGATACAGAAAAACAATCATACAGCTGTTACTAATCACATTAATTTTGACTATGTACCGGCACACGCCCTAATCAATGACAATACTAACACCTGTTTGGCTTATGTTTTACAGCTAGATGCTGTACAAGTTACTGAGAAAAAAACTATCAGCTTGCATCATTAATGAATTCATTTATTATTCATATTAATCGGCAACAGTTTGTGCTCGTCTCGTATTAACATTCATTTAAGTCAGAGCTAACCTTTAAGTACACAGTAATTAAATGTTTTTAAGGTATTTTATGGAGGCTTTAAGAGGCTTCTGATCACTTGCATGAATATTACTCCTCCAAGTTGTTACTGTTTTCTACCGGCTGGCTGCCATCTTTGTTGTAGCAGTAGTCGGAAACGAGAAAACTCTTTAATAAATTCAGTGGAAGAGGTATTATGATCAAGTGGTTTTAGAATAATTTCTGAACAAGGATATGAGTAAAAAACAAACAAAACACCTTCCTCGAATGTAATAAGTGTCTGGTAACTGTATGACGCTTTTCTGCTGTGAAAGACGAGGTTTTGTGTGTGTGTGTGTGTGTGTGTGTGTAACCATGGCAAGGAAATTAGGTATTTGTAGAAATACAAAAACAAAGATGTCAGAGAGTCAGTGTCACCCAGTCACAGGCTGCGCTTCCACCAGGTGTTTGATTCCAGTCGCTCAGCCGCGTCTCACACATCTCTCTCAGGTAGCTCGCACCGAGCGACAGCTTAGCTGACAGAGAGGCAGTAGCTGCCAAAAAGCCCGCTAATAACGCATAAAAGGACGCTGAAAACATTCCCGAACTCGGCTGGTTGTTAGAGGGCTCCATGTTAATCCTTTCAGACCGCAGTAAAGCCTGAGTTAAAGGATGCGAACAGGCAGACGAAAATTTTCACAATAAAAGCTTGTATGGCAGCTTCCCCCATACGTCACTACACAACAGGACACACAATACAAAGGCCTGGTTTTTCACTAATTTATTTATACAGTAAATTACACTCTGTCGCTGTCATCCGAAAATCTTACATTTCTTGCAGGTATAGATTGCGCATTAACATCCTAATGGCTCCTCATATAAATGCTTGTCAGTTGTTACTTTGCTCAGTGGTGACCAAACAGCTTCAGTGGTGATGTCATCGGACTCCGCTAGGATTTATTTTAAATAAGTAAAGAAACTACTCTTCATGGATAATGTCATTATTCATGGAGACACAATTTTTGATTAAAACTACTTTGGTTTTATTGTGAAGCTTAAGTGCTTTTTCCATATCATGCCTTCGCCATCTTGACTGTAGCTGCTTTGTTGTAATTGGTTGTTTCCTTTCCGGGAATCTGATGACGTAGTGAGCGTTCGAAAAAAATCGCGCGGCTCCGGGAGGGTTCTGATGATTTCGAGGCCAGCCACTTTGTGGGTTCCACCCTCAGTCTGTGCAGCTGGAAACTCGGACCCGCTTTGCTTCCAGATGAAGCATACCATCCTCACTGCCAAACGCAGGTGTGAGCCCCTTCACCAGCCTGCCTAACGTCTCAGAAAGTTCCTGAAGTGTGTCTTGGCTTTCAGTGGTACATATTCTGTCCATGAGTTGTTTGGTGAGGTTGACACATTTCTTCCTCAGATATGACTTGCTCACTCGCTTGCGTGGTGGACTGTCACAGTCAGAGGTCACTTGTGTGTCTGCAAAGAAAGTTACACTAAGACAAATTTGCACTCCCTAAAATTTGAGGTAACAGGTTAATGATTGTGCGGGTAAGACAGTAACTTTTATGAAGTTCTTCTCTCATGTCGCAGATAAACCTTACCCTTGCAGGTTACTGGCTCACTGACTACCTCCGTGCCCCACTCGTCCACTGAGTCTGGGGTCATGGAGCAACACGTGGCATCCAGGTTAAGAAGCGGGTGTTCCCTGTATTTCAGGGATAACTGCTGCCACGTCCAGCCAGGGACCTTCTGGAAGACTGCACAGAAATGTTTGCATGGCAACTTGTACCGCCTCCAGTCATCGCACTGACAGGAGGGCAAGCTGTCGTCTGACCCAAATGCCAGTTCATAAGACTGGTCCTCCTGTGTCTCGCTCTTCACTCTGAACACACCGTCGCCCAGCTTGACCACATGTCCCTCAGAGAGAGAGCTATCCATGCAGCTCGTGATGTGTTGAATGACGTCTGCGGGTCTGTCCCACAGGAAAGGAGGGACACTGGAGTCACACTGTCCGTATGACCTCACATTAGCTTCAATGTACCTGAAAGAGAAACATTATTTTTGCTGACATGACGTGCACACTGAAGACAAGCTTGAGCAAATGGAAAACTTACGTCCTCCGCAGTTCAGGGATGTACACATGTGTCACGATGTCCAGCATTTCAGATAAAGTCCGGTCCCTGTAGTCCTCCAGGTATTTGTGCTTGAACAATTTATTCTGGTGTTCAGTCTCATGGTTTGTGATGATGGCTATATTCAGTGTCTCTTCTTTGAAGGCAGACACCCATCTCTTAAACAAAGCAAGATATAGCGAGGGTTTGTTGTGGCGATAGAATTTCAGCTTTCAAATGTCTCTGTGCAGGAGCTGCTTTTTTCTCAGATGCTTACCTTTGCTTTGGACAACCACGTGTCTGAAAACCAGCTCTGAAACGCAGGATTTTGTTCCCAGGTGTGGCTGGCCATCAGGGCCTTCACTGCCTCCTCGTACTGCTCTGTAGTGAGTGAGCTGGCTATCGCTTTCAGCTTTGTAAGAGCATCTCCTTTGTCAGCCACTCGATGCTCCTTCTGTATCCATTCGTCCCATGCCTTCTCCCTGTGAAAGTCACTGAGCAGCGCTTTGGTGCCTGCACAGAGGTAGAAAGAGACTGAATAGAGAGCACACTGATATATAATCATAACACCAACATGTAAAAAGAGTAAAGATCCACAGTGATCACTTTGTTTTCATTTTAGCTCACCGTACCTTCAAACACAGACTCAACAGCTTGGATTTCGGCAGCGTTGCAATCGACCATAAAGCTTGCTGGCCTCCAGTCTGCGTTCCAACACTTGAACACTTCCAGACCCTCTTTGATGGCTTCTGTTGTTTCTTCTTGGAGTACCATCACTCCCACAACGGAGTAGCACATGTTAGTGCGGACGCACAAGAAGCACAGGGGCAGAGGGTAGCGGATTGTTCTGTAGGCGGCATCGAACACGCAGACATCTGCCCCATACAGGCGCAGCAGCCTCATCTGCCACAACGTTTGATGGCAGAAGAGGAAGGAGGCGTCCTCTGTACGGAGGCGCAGATGGAACTTGTCCTCAGGTGTAGCAGCACACCATTCTTCAAACAAGCCCTGCAACAAATACAATCTTTTTTTCTTTTTTATACGGACTAGTCACATGCTGGTGTTTTACCCAAACAGGAATGATAAAGGCGCCGCTCACCTCCAGGTTCACCTGATCGATTCTGTGCCGAGCCTGGTCCTTCACCTTAGCCATTATATTTCGGAGGTCCTTCTCTGAGGGGTAGTACCGGCGCCTGGACGCAGGGGGTGGGCTAGCTCCCTTAAAAAGCTCGGCTGTTACAAACTGAGCAAGATGACGCTTCAGCTCGCTGACCTTCCTCACGCCCTGCTTTCTGAGCTCCACCACCTGCTGCTCCACTCTTGCGTCCACGGGCTCCTTTAAATATAGCACACTTGTAGTTTCACATGGAAACACAAATTTTTGTCCTTTGTGAGGAGACTGTTGTTCGTTACCATTTCTCCCATTGCGTGCCCAGCATGCGCACTTGGCTGTGTAACAACATAGCATGTTCCCCACACAACTGGATCTCTCTCCAAAGCCTCTTTCAGCATCTTGGAGGCTGCCTTCTTACTCCTCTCCCTGTCTTCTTCCAACTAACATGCATGCAGATAGAAATCAGAGTGGTGATCATGGAGAGAAACATGTGCCGAAACAAAATGATTTAGTCTGAGTCCTAAACTCGTACTCCATGCCTTTCTCCTTTAAATTCAGCTGTCTTTGCTTAAAGGTCACATTCCTGTAGGAGAGCCAACATTTCCACTTACCTTGAATTTAGGGAATGTTGCGATCTTGCTGATTGATATGGCTGCTGGGCATCCCACCTTTTTACTAGACTGCGAGTTTGATTTGTTCCTAACTAAAGTGTGGTCAATCATCTGTGGATTATGGGAAAGAAATCAGTTAAATAATGCATTCAATAATTCATGTCAAGATTAGCTAACTTGAGCAGAACATCTAAGCATACTCAAATCAAACACTGAGAAACAGGTGGAGTCGTGCGCCTTTCTTAGTAGCCATGGTTCACTGCTGTCCATTAGAAGTGAGCAGATTGATCCTAATATTGATAATATCCATGCTATCCAAGCCTATAGCACCTTAAAATGACAGTAGTTGATCCAAAGTGCTTTAGAGACAGGCACATCCAAGGTCTCCAGAAAGCCCCAATTTCAAAATAAATGAAAAACTAAAAGGTGTGTTTTGTTGTGGAAAAGTAAAAATCACACTGACTTATAGGCCATTAAATCGTGTTCAGAAATTGGACATTAATGATGATTCGTCTGATAAATCATGACGCAATGCTCTCCACTACATAAGCTGCCTTTTCTAGGTTTAAAGTGTTGTCACTATTGGTCCTGTATTTACTTATTATTGGATTGATACACAAATTTCAGTATCCCACAGCACTACTCCCAACTCGTCTACTCTGCGCGCCTTTTTCTCCAAGGCTGCAGCGTCATCGGTTGCCTAGCAGCGAAACAACCAATCCCTCGGCTCCTCGCATCACCAGCCAGCCTCTGTGTGTGTGTTGAACGTGCAGTGAAATCACCGTCTTTTTTGCCCTTTCCTCGGCATATCTCTGCTTCTGAGCTACGGCGAGGTCCTTGCCCTGATGGCAGACGAGCCTTTTAGAGCCCACAAACATAAATGGGACTCCGGTGAATTCAATGGCTGGCATCCCAGAGCCCCCAGCCCACTGCCAGTAGACGCGGTTTCCGGGCAAAGGATGCCAATCTGTGTGACAAATACAAGCACACGACCTGATAAGACCCCGGCGTTAACCGACACACTCACTACTGAACCATAGCAGGGAGCAGTGTTTACGGCTCTGCTGTCCAGCTAGCAGTCACTCTCCATTTCGTTACCTTTGTCATTATAATGGCGGTCCACGGAAAAGGTGATAAACTTAGTCTGAGACTCTTCCTCCAGTTCTTTAATAAAAGAGTCCAGATCGGCAGAGTTCTCAAACTGTCTCATGCTAATGTTTAACTTTTCATGCTCATACGGCTAACGGTGCTACGAGCAGTCACAGCGGAGAGTTTCCTTCTTCAAGTTAAATAGGGCGAGTTGCTGCTTTATGTGGAGGACATTCATCGGCTTAGTTTTTCTGCGATGTTTCGCTTTGAATCATCATTTAGGTTATCGTCCCTTGTGCAGATCCAATGTAGTACCAAGCAGCGCTATGGCATCAACGTTCCCAAATCCACCAATGACAGTAGCTCCTGAAGTCACGTGACGCGGCGCGTTTTAGTGACGGTTTCTCTGTTTTGACGAGTCCGTGCTAGCCGGAAGTTGCTCGGGTCTGCAGTCTGCATTCGTTGGCTGCTTGTCTTGTTTTGCTTCTTTGCCATGAATAAAAATAAGGGCCGCGGAGTAGCATGGGTGAAGCCGGCGGAGCCGTCCTTTCTCAAGAAGTTTAAGAACGATGTGGGATACAAAGAGGGACCGAATGTCGACACTAAGGTAACTACGCGGTTGGGTTAGCCGTGCCAGTTAGCTGCACCGGGCCTACCAAACCATTATCTCTTTCAGTTGTGTGACAGCTACACTTTGCGACGTTTGTTTCTGAGCGCAGGCGCATGGTGTTCATATAAGGAAGAATAAATGCTCTGAATCATAATTCAACGGAGGGTCCCATTCACTGAATTGAGCAGTGAGGCCGCACGAGCTACAGCTGTTCCTCCGGACCATCAGAGCAGTCTCGAACTGCGCTGCAGCGTTCAGCAGTGACTGCGCAGGCGTTCTACAACTGAATTTATGTATTCTACAACAGAAAGCCATGGCTTTTCCTGAATGGGTTTGTTTTTTGTTTTATGAAGTTGTATTTAAAAAAAAAACAAAAAAACCCACCACGACTTGAATCATGACTCTGAAGTACAGGTTCCTGATTTTAGTTTTGAGTGTCGGGCTGCTGATGAAATGATTATCACTGAAATAAGAAACCTCGGTACCGTCATTCACAGTGAATGCAGGATTTCAGAACACATCTCACACAGGCTGTTTGCTATCCTAGCGTCAGGTGATGCCAACACTGGATGACGACAGCGGCAGCGATCGAGAGGACGAGTTGCCCCAGGTCGTGGTCCTTAAAAGTGGAGACCTGACTGCAGAGGAGGTGAAGAAGATGAAAGATGAAATACAGGCTGGAGGCAGCTCAGAGAAAGGTGAGAGTCCAGTTCAATGATTTAATTACACCAGGAGTAAGAAAATATTTACATATGCATGCACTGTATACAGCATGTTAACATAAAACCCTGTGTTTGCAACCCTGCACATACATACCTCCGTCTGCTCCGCAGATGGTCAGCCTCCTGACGGTAAAATCCTTTTCAAGAAACCAGCCAAGCGCTCTTCCTCAGATAAATTCCAGGGCATCGGTGCTAGCTCCAGCAAAAAGAAGAAGAGCAGTGGAGGGGACAAGGAAAAGGAGGAAGAGGAGGAGGAGAAAAAGGAGGCATCTGGAAAGAAAGTTAAAAATAACAGCCTCCTGTCATTTGGAGGGGATGAGGAGGAGGAGGACTGAATGGAAGTGGTGAGAGTAGGCTGTCAGGAAACAGGAACATTGTACTGAGTATAAGACATGGTTCAACCTGTCCATTCTTTTTAAAGGACAGTGCTACTGTTTTTGCATGTCATTCATGACATATAGATTCATACATTTTTAGTAAAGCATAAAAATCAGCTGGCACAAACTGAATTTATTCCGAGTCGTCTCCGTCTGACTACAGGGATGATTCTGATTCATTTAACAGTCTGAGCAGAAACAGTGAAGCTGAGGGGGAAAATGAACCTGCATCAGAGACGATGAGGTTATACTTCTGTTAGTGTAACTTTATCCTGCATCCATGTCAGGGTCAGAAACTACACAAGGACATTTATACAGTACTGTGTTACTGATAAGAGGGGAGTTGGTTCAGCTGCTGTGTGAAAGCCCACTCTGACATGTTAGCAGGACGTTTCCCTGGTTACAGCTACCAGACTGTGTTGACTCATGTCACTTTGTAGAACTTGGGGTTTGCTCTTTTCCAGCCCCGTGACTTTGTTTTAACATTTTAGTTTGCATGTTCTCGTGTGTGTTCTGTGAGGACAAATATGAACTGTTAAGGTGGTTTAGTTCTCAGGGGACTAAAGTCATGGCTGTGGGACAAGAATTCATATTTTCACACCTCAAAGTTTATAAATGTCTCAAACACAAGCAGAGAGATGTAAACCAGCTTCTGCTTGATTCTGGAGTTGATGAGTGAAGACACATCACCGTATGGCTTTACCTCAGTGTAGCTCTTTCACACACCACAGGCAGGTAGCTGAAGCAGTGTCTCTGAACTGCACGGATTCTGAAACCAGCTCATCTACATGTTTTCAGGTGTAAATTTCTCCTGCGTTTGCGTCCATAAATAACCTGAACTGTGTGCTGTGCTATAGATCCAATCACTATTGTATAGCTGTGGTCATAGGACCAGGACTAATTAGTGGAAAATCAGTTGTACAGTGTGCCCCGCACCCCACCCTTCAAGCCCAGTGTAAATAATTGAAGCAGCAGCACGCAGAGAGCTTTTCTGTATCAAAGAATCAGTGCTAATGAATTCCAGCAGATTCGGTTTTCCTGAAATTTATTTGATGCAGCTTTCCTTAATTCTTTTTTGTTATACTTCTAATCAAAGTCACAGCGGGAGCTGCTTGTGAATTTTAATTTAGAAAAACCAATTAATTCAGCTGCAGGAGCCGCTCGGCAGTGCTCTCCACAAAGCAAATCCCAAAGAAAAATATAAGATCATCGGAAGCGGGTCTGCTCTCGCATTTAAAACACTGAGAGCTGCAGGGAGCTAAATTTGTCCAGCTTCAGTTTAGTGTACTGGTAGCAGTGGGGGTCTTTTTGTTTTTAAAATATTACATGTAATGCGTCCCTTCATCAGACACAAACGAACATCAGCAGCTGATAAATGGATGTCATTAAATTCCAGGAGCAACTAGTTTAATGGAAATTAAATTAATTTTGTGTGATTATAAATTAAATTGTCCCCATATGACAGCATTGAGAGTTCTTTCTTCAGGTTCCAAAGTGCTGCGGATCACTGTCACACTCTGAATCAGCCTGGATCTTTGTTGCTGTGTTTGAATCTTGTGTGTGCTGAGGTGTGTGCGTGTCTGGCAGCCGTACGCAGGGGCTCATTGTAGAATCTTAAATACAGTCAGTCATGCACTGAATGTATGAATATTTTCTAGCTTCGACTGCGGAGCTGAACAGTTCATGTAGAAACGATGCATTTGTGTCAATGCAGTTGTGATGTATCTTTTTTTTTTGGTGTGTGCATCAGTTTTCATTGTGTATTTTTTGACAGTGCTACAACTCCTGTGAACTTTTGATATAAAAATATTAAGAAATCTTTGTTGGTTTTTACTGTCATGCGTTGCCTCATCAGTGCCACCTGTGTTCATGTCATGAATGAACAGATCTACACCTTCACATGCCGATTGCCTAATTCTTCTTCCTCTCACGCCACCTGTCAAGCTTTCCACATGCATAGTTTCACTCCAGGACTGTCTAAGAGCAGCTTTGCATGATTACAGTTCAAAATATTTTTTAAAGTTTCCACTGTGTCTTAAAGCAGATTTGGTTCTTTTTTTTTTCCCCCTGATTGGCTGCTTCTTGCAAAGAGGTTTTAACTGGTGGGTTAAAGTTTCGAGTTTCTGGAGAGAGCTCCATAAGACATGTCCCTTCATTGGTCTCCAGCAGAGCCAAGAGAATCTAAAAAACAAACAGTCAAGTCTAAACTGGACATAAATGCAGCTAATAAAATCGATGTTTACAACCTGTGAGTTTTATACCTGCAAAAAAATTCTAAAGATTAACATTTTTGTTCATTTAAAGAAAAAAAAAGTAAAGATGAGTTATTTCAACCTCTTTATTCAAAAAGGCATGTTTCATTCTCACACCTGCATCCAGATCATTACAATTGATGGAAGAACCTTTGACTTGGAAAAAAATCAAACAAAATCATTGCATCACATGATAGGACGCTGCGCTCGTGTTAGGCAGCAGCCTCCATCGTCCATGTAATAAATACACCCGCTGACATGCAGCTTTGGAAACACCTTTTTTTTTATTAAACTTTAAGGCCTGTGCTGTCCCTCTCCACACGGACTCTTGGAGCAGTGTTCTAACAAAACCTCATAAAAAAAAAAAGTCAACTTGTTATATTTGTAAGAAAATGAACATGGCAGATTTGAATCTAGGGAAAGTTTGGTTTACAGAAAGAAGTGCGCCAATTTAAAAGGAACATTCAGAGTGTAGAGCGGCTGTAACCCGCAGAGCCTCCTGCTGCTCCTGCCAGCTCAGATGATGGTTTTCTAAATTCAGGAGAGGACGAGCAGCGAACGCGTTTGATCCCGGTACCTGCGGAGGGAGACTCAGCCTGATATCTACAGAGTGCGGTGGGATACGTGACGGGGGGATCAAAGGGAACGAGGCCTCGGGGACACCTTTTGACATGCAGACAGCAGGTACTGCAGACGAACAGCTGGGTGCATTACTGCTGCTGCTGATTTCTCTTCATTGTTTTCACTGAGAGCAGAGGAGACTTTCAAATGGCTACTTAACAACAACACTGGCACCAGCAGCAAAGCAAGCACATTTCTACTGACCTGAAGGTGGGACGGACCGCTCTGCGTTCTGCAGCGCTGATCCCTCCCACATTCGTTCATTTACTAATTACAGTCAGCTGATTAAAAACTGAAGGGTACAGATATGTTCGTGTCCACCTGCTGGGCTGCAGCTCAGCATTACCATTTCAGATAATGTAAACAGCCAGCTGATCACACAGATTGTAAACAAATCACTTTAAAGCAGAGCAGGTGCATCGTGGGAAATGTAGGTTCCAGTACCTCTGGAGTCTGAACAGGACTAGAGATTCGGGGTCAGATTTATCACAGGGCAAATTAGTCATCACAAAAATGTGCCAGCGGGAGAACAATTGTGCATGTGATCCAACACTGAGCTAACTCGTGAGCACAGATGCCAGCATCTTACTGAGCAGAGCACACGAGATAATATCCACTAACCTGAATAACATAATCACAGGGTAACATGTTGATTTCACATCAGTGAGAAGCAGCTGAAGGAGAAACATTAAACTCTGATAATGAGGACGACCTCCTCTGGTAGAAACCGATGACGACTGTGGAGCAAGATCCAGAGAACCTCATAAACCTGACATCTCTGTGTGATGGCAGGCCTTTAGGATACACACAACAGCACAACGTAATTATTTACCAGGCTGCATGTTAGTGAAGAGTTACTGTGCCACCCTGTTTCCGTGTATGGACAGCCAGAACGATGACGACTGTCAGCCGCCTGCAAAACTCCATATTTACATTCAGTGACACGAGGAACAGGAACACGCTTCAGAGCTGACCGAATCACATTAATAAGTTTTGATGTGATACTACAGAGAAGTAAAAAGAAACAACAGAAGAGTCAGTAAAGTTAACCTTTGGCACCACACTCGCAGCTTAAAGCCATCCACCTGTGCCTTTAACTAAATTCTGCTTATGTGATTCGTTGAATTGCTCACGGCGCTAATTTTGTACTCTGAAGTAGAAAATCTTACACAAATGTGGGGGAAAACATGTCTTTGTGCCTCATGAAACACACGGAGCGACCTGCAGACATGGCAGAAAAAGTTGGTAGGTGAGGGGGAAACTTTCCTCGAATTTTGAAATAAGTGATTGAAGCGAACAGCGGTGAGAGCAGAGGACGCCGATGTTTGACATGTGACAGTATATTAGAGAGTTGCCTTGAAAGCCTGAAATGTGGCCGTAAAGCTTGGGACAGCTGAGCCTGTGGTGCTCAAATTGTGACTTTGCTTGCTTTTAAAAGTAATTTAACCCTCTGCACCATCTTTGTTTACAACTGTGTTGATCTGGCATGCTGATAAAAATTTTAATGCACTGTAGCAAGTGAGAATTAACCTAAAAATGAAGGCGTGCTGTCGGCGCAGCAGGATGATGTTAGATGAAAGCGTACTGTATCGGTCAGTCTGGGTTTCAGTGCTGACAGAGTTTCTGTATGATGCGATGCATAGAGCAGCCCCAAGCAGAGTCCCCTGATGAGGGACGGCTAATCTCTCTTGCTCGGTCCGTCCTCACTCCCCAGCACGTTCAAGTACAAAAAGAAAAGTGAGTCAAAGGTCACAGTTCGTCAGGTTAAATCCAGCGTGGAGGAGGCTCTCAAACTCAAACCCACTCTCTCTCTCTCTCTCTTCCTCCTCGACCCCAGCATCAAGTCAAAGGTCGGCTCGGGTTCAGCGGGATCCTGGGCGATGCTTTCCCAGCCTGGGCTTCCAGGTGAGGATGCTCAAGATGATGGCGGGGGCGGGGCAGAGAACCTCTGCTGTTCCTTATTCGATCTCGATTGGTGGATTTTTTTCTCCTTTTCTTTCTTTTTTTTTTCTTCTTTTTTTTACTGCTTGATATTGTTGAGCTGTGTGTCAGATTCGTTTTCCTCCCTCCTTCCACAGTCTGCCTCTGTAGGTGGTGGACCTTCTATAAAGATTTCTTGGTGAGTTTCTTGCCCTTCTTCAGGGACAGCTTGTTCTTGACATATCCCCGCTTCCTCTTGGCCGTCTGTAAACAGAAGAAAATGACACGTTCAAGTAGAAATGTATGATTTTGTGTGTAAGTTTGGCTAAAATGTCCAAAACAGCGGTGAGCTGGAATGGATGTGGGGACCTTTTTAGAGGTGTACTTCTGCCTGTTGGTGTCAGTGCTACGCAGCTTGTGCTCCACCCGGTCTCTGTTCTCCAGCTTCTTGACCTTATAAATCCTGACCAGCCAGTGCTCTGAAGTGAACGCCTCCTCCAGGTGCTTCAGCTTGATGTCCTTGTTGCCGATCTCGGCGTTGCGTGTCCGGTCGAAGCCCGGGGGCGTCCTGAAGTCCAACTAAACAAGAAACAAAAGCATAACTTAAATGAAACACTGACTAGTTTCTGCGAAGTAGAAAAAGCTCCTTGACGATGACATACCTGCATCTCTCCAAAGCGGTAGTAAGACATTTTGTACATAAGGCAGTTGAGCAGGGTGGGGGAGCCTGCTTTGTCCACTCTGAACTCTCCTTGGGGGGTAAAATAATCACTTTCCTGGGGTGAGACGTGACAAAAGGTGGAGAAAGAAAATAAATTAAAGAAAAGAACGAACACGTGTTCATATGTAACCAGAGAGTGCGAGATAGTTCCCTCACCCTGATGTCCCTGGGGTGCTCCCCCTCTGCGATGCGCACCATCCACAGGAACTTGTTGATGTCATCACCTGAGTAGCCAATCACCCCTCCGAAGATGATCAGGACATAGTCGACATCCAGCGACCTCATGATTTCATAGGCTGCAGTCTCATTGGACGACATGGCTTTGCCCACCTGTTAAGGCACAAACACACCGCAGGTTAGAAATATCACACTTAAGCTGCCTCACAGACCATTTACACTCATTCATCTAACACGTCTTTGGACTGTGGGAGCAAGCTGGACACACAGAGAGCAGCCATGCTTAAGTTTAGGTAAGGAAGATAGATAGAAGCTGCACAGATACAACCCCTGAGAGCAAACTATTCATTTTTCTCAGAATGTCACAGCTTTGAGATTAATGTCAGAATTCTCTGAGAAAAGTCGGAAAAACTCCAAAAGACGCCCGACCTATAGAAACCATTTGTTGGCAAGCACAGCAGTAAAATGGTTCTTGTAGTTGGTCAGTGGGTTTGCACATATCTCAGGAGGGATTTTGTTCCACTCCTTCATTTTAGATTTCTGGGTTGCTGCTTGGAAACTCGAAGCTTCAGCCTCCTCCACAAATAAGACTAAGGTTTAAAGACCGGCTAGGCCACTAAATGTGCTGCTTCTTTAACCACTCCTTTGCTGCCTTGACGCCATATTTTGGGTCATTGTCATGCTTGAAGACTCGACTATGTTCTGGCTGAGGAAAGGAGGAACTGGAAAGGAACTGGTTTTTTTGAGGTTCTCAAAAAAACAAAAAAACAAAACAGCTCCAAAGCATAATGTTTCCACCTCCACCTCCTGTGGAGATGGTGCTTTTTGGGACATACTCAGCATTTCCATTCCTCCAAACACGATGGGTCGAGTTGATGTTTCATGTTCCCACAGCACGCCCTGCGAGCGCTGCAGGGTTTCATTCCATTATGTTGTAGTGCGTTACCAGTGGTGTTCTTACTGACTATGGTCCCATCTGCCTTCGTGTCATTAACAAGCTCCTCCTGTGCAGTTTTGATCTGATTCACCGCATTTCTCATGATCATCCTCACCCCACGAGGCAAGATCTTGAACAAAGCTCCAGACTGAGGACGATTGATGCTCATGTAATATTTCTGAACA